TTGAATGCCTAAACGCTGGATATCATTTCCTTCCTATATGTCGGCTGCATGACTTGGATTCAGTTGTTCAATCCGTATTATTCCTATTCTGTTGAGTACAACATATATAGAGTATTTTGATCATCATCTATTGCTTTTCACCTGATCAATAAACTCGCTGATTAAGATCTCCCGTCTCTGGTGACTAATTGGGCCTGGAATACCCAGTTATCGGCTGTCCGGCAAAAAATCGTCTCTCCGGCAAAAAGGGAAGGATCTGGGTAGTTTCAATATAATCCAGATTATCAAATCAGATAATCTGCACAATCAGTGGAACTCTCTGCCCCGGAGTGTGGTGGAGGCTCCTTCTTTGGAAGCTTTTAAGCAGAGGCTGGATGGCCATCTGTCAGGGGTGATTTGAATGCAATATTCCTGCTTCTTGGCAGAATGGGGTTGGACTGGATGGCCCATGAGGTCTCTTCCAACTCTTTGATTCTTTGATTCTATGATCTGCTTTGAACTGGATAATAATATTTATATTCCAAACATTCAATGCCATTTTTGGACACACAGAACAGAAAGGAGGTATGTTGTGCCGACATCCAGCTTTTGGTGCCTTGTAGATTGTGCTCGAGTCTAGCCACAGGAGGGTGCTGTCACTTCATCCTCTATGATGAAGAGCCGTCAGGACTTCCTCCTTCCTTTTGGTTGCCGGGCATTTTCTGATCTTTTTTGTTTCATAGTGTTGTAAAATACCTACCCCGCTTGTTTTAGCGGTACCTAATTTCTCTACTTACAACTCTAGGCTGTTTTCAAACTGATTAGGTAAACAGTGAGCAGGGCTGACAGTCAGATGCTCACGCCGATCTGGGGCTTTGAACTGGCAGCCTTTTGGTTGGTAGATCTTATCATTGCTGATTTACCAGCTGTGCTAAAGCCCGGCCCTACACTGCCATATAATCCAGTTCAAAGCAGATTATCTGGATTTTATATGGCAGTGTAGAAGAGGCCTTCATCCCTTTTCAGATGCCATCCAGAATTGCCACACTTCTCCTTTCCTCACTGAAGAACTATCCCTATCATTTCCTGAAAATCTCCAAACTTTTTCCCTACTCCTTTGGTATGGTCTGTTTAATGTCACCTTCATTCTGTCTGTTCAGCATACTATTTCCATGGCCTGTTGACACTACTTTACACCAAGATATTGGTGTGACATTGCTGTTAATAAGACTGGTTTATGGCGAACCTCTGAATGGGAGACCCGAAAAGATTTGGACCTCACCTGCCCTGCTCTGCTCTACCTTCAGTAGGTGCCTAGTTAGTGAAAAACAGGATCACCAAGTTGGAAGGGACCACAAGGGCCYCCCCCCCCCCCCAAAAAAAAAAGAAAAAGAAAAGAAATGTGGGCATGCCTAAGTAATTTACGCAAGTTTTCTGGAGTCTCCAGCTTTGAGAGGACCCTTTTTCAAATGACTTACCTACCTGTCAGTGAAGGAACCATGACCATGAAGATGGTTTCTTCATGGTGAGGCTCATCTCTTGCACTTTGGGTATGCTGACCCCTGCAATTTCTTCAAATATTGCAATATATGGCTGTATAAAAGAAACTCAAGCATTAGGAAGAACAATGGAAAACTTTGCCTGAGAGTCCCTCCAGCCCCACAAGGGCGTCCTTCGTTCATAATCATTTCTGCAACTTCACAAAAAAGTGCTCTTGTTGACCGGTGGAACCAGTTATGCTTTCTCCAACGGTTCCAGTGATGTCAAACTCATAGAATCATAGAATCAGAAGAGACCTCATGGGCAATCATCCAGTCCAACCCCATTCTGCCAAGAAGCAGGAAAATTGCATTCAAAGCACCCCCGACAGATGGCCATCCAGCCTCTGTTTAAAAGCTTCCAAAGAAGGAGCCTCCACCACGCTCCAGGGCAGAGAGTTCCACTGCTGAACGGCTCTCACAGTCAGGAAGTTCTTCCTCATGCTCAGAAGGAATCTCCTCTCTTGTAGTTTGAAGCCATTGTTCCACGTCCTAGTCTCCAAGGAAGCAAAAAACAAGCTTGCTCCCTCCTCCCTGTGACTTCCTCTCACATATTTACACATGGCCATCATGTCTCCTTCAATTGTGGTGCCCAGAATTAGACCACACCTGGAATTGTATTCCAGGTGTGGTCTAACCAAGGCAGAATAGAGGGGTAGCATGACTTCCCTGGTTCTAGACACTAGGCTCCTATTGATACATGGCTATCATATCTCCTCTCAGCCTTCTCTTCTTCAGGCTAAACATGCCCAGCTCCTTAAGCTGCTCCTCATAGGGCTTGTTCTCCAGACCCTTGATCATTTTAGTCGCCCTCCTCTGGACACATTCCAGCTTGTCAACATCTCCCTTCAATTGTGCTGCCCAGAATTGGACGCAGTGTTATTCCAGGTGTGAACTAACCAAACTTGTGACCCTCCAGGTGTTTTGGGCTTATGTTCCCAGAATTCCTGGCTATTGGACCAACTGCTTAGGGCTTCTGAGAACTGGAGACTCAAACATCTGCTTCTATGTCTTCTAGCACAACGTTATGGCAGAAGCTGACCAAGGAGTCACATTGGAAGACCTTGGGAGAAAGTGGACGGCAATGACACCTAGCTGTAGAGTTCAACAGAGATTTCAAAGCAGGCATGGGCAAACTTAGGCCCTCCTTCCAGGTGTTTTGGACTTCAACTCCCACCATTCCTAACAGCCTACTGGGTGGGTTGCTGTGAGTTTTCTTGGCAGTATGGCCATGCTCCAGAAACATTCACTCCTGACGTTTGGCCAACATCTATGGTAGGCATCCTGAGGTTGCGAGGTCTGAGGATGCCTGCCATAGAATGCTTTCTCTAATGGAATGGTAGGAGGAATGAAGTCCAAAACACCTGGAAGGAGGGCCCAAATTTGCCCATGCCGGTTCTACAGGACTATATCTTTCCAATTCCTCTTCAGGATCTCTTTGTTGGACGAGACAACATGTCCTACCTCCTTCTACAGTGAGCTATCAGGACTCCACAGTGGTCCTGCTATGAATGTCACAGTAGAGGGGATGTCTGCTGGAGCATGGGACACAGAGTTATTATAATACAATGCATGCATGCTTACTGCCAAATATATATACACCAAATGTAATATGGGAGTTTCAGTACTATTGGACAATGCGAACAACCGACAAAGCAGTTGGGAGTTTTGGGAGTGGAAACTGGAGAGATTATAGTAAGATCACATCTCAGTGTGAATGTAATGTGTTGATTATAGAAAAACATGATGTACCGTATTTCATCGCATTATAGTCGCACTTTTCTCCCTTTTTCCATCAAAGGGGTGTGCGACTATTACGCAAGGAAAAAATGTGGGATTTCTTTCTTGGGTTGTATCCGTACTGCAGGAATTTTTAGGTCTTCCAATCCAAGTAAATGGTCAAACTTTGCTGAAGGCTTGCCATGGAATGGGCACGGGCCAACTTGGGCATTCCAGGACTTCAACTCCCACAATTCCTAACAGCTTCAGGCCCCTTCATATTCAAATGCCTTACCTCTGAAAATGGAGTAAGAGAGAGGATCCAACCTCAAACAAACTGTTCCACTTCGGATGGAAGAGCCATTTGGGGCTGATTCTCCACAAGGTAGTTTGAAAGCTATAAAATGGAGGTCTCTGAAGATCCACTTTTCTTTCCTCCCTCCTGCAAACCCTTAAGCCAGTTTGCAAAATCTGAAGTGGAGCTCCTTGGAGAAAGGAGGAAGGATCCGAGCCTCAGAGACCTCAATTTCAGGTTGTAATTAAGGCCTCAGAGAAAGGAGCAAAAAATGGCTCGGCGACTATTATGCGAGGAACACAGAAATACTGATTTTTGCCACCCCCAAAATGGGGGATGCAATGTTTATGTGGTGGCAACCATTACGCAATGAAATATGGCATTTCTTTCTAGGGTTGTATCCATACAAAATCACTTCTCAGTGTGAATGTAATGTGTCGATAATAGAAAAGGATGATGTACCGTATTTCATCGCATTATAGTTGCACTTTCCTCCTTTTTCATCAAATGGGAATGCAACTATTACATGAGGAAAAAATGTGGTATTTCTTTCTGGGATTGTGCGACTACTACGCAAGAAAAAATGTGGTATTTCTTCCTGTGGTTGTGCGACAATTACGCAAGGAAAAAATGTGGTATTTCTTTCTGGGGTTGTATCCATACAAGATCACTTCTCAGTGTGAATGTAATGTGTCAATAATAGAAAAGGATGATGTACCATATTTCATCGCATTATAATCTCACTTTTCTCCCTTTTTCCATCAAAGGGGCGTGCGACTATTACGCGAGGAAAAAATATGGTATTTCTTTCTGGGATTTTGTGACTATTATGCAAGGAAAAAATGTGGTATTTCTTTCTGGAGTTGTATCCATACAAGATCACTTCTCAGTGTGAATGTAATGTGTTGATAATAGAAAAGGATGATGTGCCGCATTTCATCGCATTATAGTGGCACTTTTCTCCCTTTTTCCATCAAAGAAGTGTGCAACTATTATGCAAGGAAAAATGTGGTATTTCTTTCTGGGGTTTTGCGACTATTATGCAAGGAAAAATATGGTATTTCTTTCTGGGGTTTTGCGACTATTACGCAAGGAAAAAATGTGGTAATTCTTTCCGGGATTGTGCGACTACTATGCAAGGAAAAAATGTGGTATTTCTTTCTGGGGTTGTATCCATACTGCAGGAATTTTTAGGCCTTCCAACACAAGTCCATGGTCAAACTTTGCTGAAGGCTTGCCATGGAATGGGCATGGGCTGACTTGGGCCCTCTGGGTGTTTTGGACTTCAACTCCCACAATTCCTAACAGCCTCAGGCCCCTTAAGCGGCTGAGGGGGGAAAGGAAAGGGCTTGAGGCTGTTAGGAATTGTGGGAATTGAAGTCCAGAACATCTGGAGGGCCCAAGTTGGCCCGTGCCTGATTTAAGACATAACTGGCAAACTTTTATTCACAAAGACACAGACAAATTCATTCCTCTCGGTAAACAGATTCTGTCTTTATGGGGAAAAAAATCTGACGAAGCCACAGTGATTCAGTTGTGATCTCAAAAAATGACGCTTTTGTTTTGTACGGCGCTGGTTCTCAAATACCGAGGAGCCAAGGATACGCACGAAAGCACAGGAGTATTTGAAGCATACCGAGGTGGAAGGAAGTTGGGGAAGGGACGGAATACAGCCATCACTATTGTTTTACATCCCCTTGGGGCTGCCTCGACACCAGAGAAACCAGCCGGACGCAAAATCCCACCGGCCGTAACCAAAAATGTGTTGCTGTCCGTTTGCATAGTGAGCAGCAAGCTATTTCTAAACCAGTTGTTTTGAAATAGCTGCAGAAGGAAGAATGTTTCCCACTGGATGCCAATAATACAACGTGGAGAAAGACGGAAGGGCCAATTTGGTCAGCAGTAGTGCAGTTCTGATCTTCGCCAAGAAACCTCAAACCAAACTTGCATTTTGAGGGATATTCACATCCACATTCAGAGCTTGGGCAAGGAATGTCACCTTGTGAGGCTCTTATATGGTCAATGTCTTGTCGAAGGCTTTCATGGCCAGAATCACTGGGTTGTTGTGAGTTTTCCGGACTGTATGGCCATGTTCCAGAAGCATTCTCTCCTGACATTTCGCCTGCATCTATAGCAGGCATCCTGAGGTCTGTTGGAAACTAGGCAAGTGGGGTTTATATATCCGTGGAATGTCCAGAGTGGGAGAAAGAACTCTTTTATGCGAGGAACACAGAAATACTGATGTTTGCCACCCCCAAAATGGCAGATGCAATGATTATGTGGTGGCATTTATGTGGTGTATTTCAATTTCTGCTTGAAATTGAAATACACCACCACCTGAGCTCTGCGAGTGCAGCATTTTTCCAAAATGAGCACAGTGTTTGAGAACTGGGACATCCGTTGGGAGAAAGAACTCTTGTCTGTTGGAGGTAGGTGTGGATGTTTCAATTGGCCACCTTCATTAGCATTGAATGGCCTAGAAGTTTCAGGGTGTGGCTTCTTACTGCCTTTGTTGGGAGGTGATTAGCTGGCCCTGATTTTTTTCCTTGTGTAATAGTCGCACAATCCTTCGATGAAAAAGGGAGCCAAAGTGTGACTATAATGCGATGAAATGCAGTACATCATCCTTTTCTATAATGAACACATTTCATTCACACTGATTCTATCTGAACATTAGGAAGAACTTCCTGACTGTGGGAGCTGTTGAGCCATGGAACTCTCTGCCCCGGCGTGTGGTAGAGGCTTCTTCTTTGGAAGCTTTTAAACAGAGGCTGGATGGCCATCTGTCGGGGGGGATTTGAATGCAATTTTCCTGCTTCTTGGCAGAATGAGGTTGGACTGGATGGCCCACGAGGTCTCTTCCCACTCTGATTCTATGATTCAGGGCCAGCTAATCACCTCCCAACAAAGGATTCCCCCAGGCAGTAAGACACACCACCTTGAAACATCCAGAAGTTTTCAAATTTTTAAGTGAGGGGTCGGCTCCCAGTTCCTCAGACTTTTGCGGTCTGATATAATTTGCAAACTATAGTTTCCAAACTATAGTTTGGAAAAAAAATGAACTGATTCCTATACACACTGCACATATCTTATCTATTATCAATTTTCACCAACATAAACTTCCCCATTTTTTAATGGGAAGTGTGGGCCTACTTTTGGATGATGAAATAGTCAAGTTAATTAGGATTGTTGTGGTGTGCCTTCAATTAATTTCAGACTTATTGCAAACCTAAGTCCTAAAGTTTAGGGCAGGGGGCAGATAAATGACCTTGGAGGGCTGCATCCGGCCCACGGGCCTTAATTTGGGGACCCCTGTTCTAGGCCATTGAATGCTAATCAAGGTGGCAATTGAAACATTCACACCTACTGGGATTGTGGCGCAGCTGGCTGGGAGTCAGCTGCATTAAGATCACTACTGACCAAAAGGTCATGAGTTCGAAGCCAGCCTGGGTTGGAGTGAGCTTCCGACCAATTTGTGTAGCTTGCTGTCGACTTTTGCAGCCCGAAAGACAGTTGCATTTGTCATAGGAAATTTAGGTACCGCTTATGCAGTAAGGCTTATTTACAATGCCATAAAATCTCCAGCAAGCATGCAAAGAATAAGAAAGTACTTCATCAGTGTCACAAATGGATGGTGAAGCGACAGCTCCCCTGGTGGCCAGAATACCCTCATGAAAAACGCCGGAATGTTAAATAGCCTCTGTGTGTCTGTGCAGGTACAACTGCACCAGGAGCTCCAATTTTGTTTGCTTTGCATCTAATGTTTGTTATAGTCCTAAGTTTAAGGGACTCTGCAGATAGGTGGCTTCTTTTGGCTGCAATCATAGGGCAAGCCACCTGTCAATTATAGTTAGGTTCCCTGGTCCCGCCCCCTTTTTGGGTTTTTGGAGGGAATAGGAGCCTTTTTGAGTTCAGTCCACACAGAGAAGCCTTCCATACAGGACATAATACCAAGAGCTCCTGTAGAAAGCTTCGTCTTCTACGGCTTGGCCGGGGTTATACAGCCCACAGCTTGGCCGAGGATCATACAGCCTTACAGCTCCTTTGCTGAAGGACTTCAGCCAGCCATCACCTAAACCTGAACTCCTTCTTTTCCCCTGGAAGTCTACAAAGCTCTGCTTGGTAAGGGTCACTCGCGGAAGCCAGATGCAGTTGGTACAGGGGCTCCACGCCAACATAGGCAAGTACAGACTGCCCAGATTAGAAGTTAAGGATTTCCCCATTAGTTAGTATACCATTATGAAGATAGTGCCTGTTCCCAGTGGACAAGATTGCAAGAGCCAATAGACTGTTAAGAAAGCTTTAAAGTATCTGTTTGTTTTCATCAATAAAGAACTTTGTTGGACTTACTTTAAGCCTCTACAGAACTTTGTTTTGGGGAAATCCAAAGGCCTTTAATCTGAGGCAGCCCCGGCGTCCCGTTGGGCACACAGAATTTATGTCCTGTCTACAGTCACATGCACAGGCCCAGCGTGCGACAGCACAGTGTCTTCTATATATGTTGTGTGTCTATGGCATTGAATGTTGGCCATGTATATGTACATTGTAATCCACCCTGAGTCCCCTGTGGGGTGAGAAATAAAAATAAATACCTTAAACAGACAAGAGTTCTCTCTCTCCCACCCTGGACATCATTCCACAGATATATAAGCCCCACTTGCCTAGTTTACAACAGACCTCACAACCTCTGAGGATGCCTGCCATAGATGCAGGTGAAACAGCAGGAGAGAATGCTTCTGGAACATGGCCAGACAGCCCGGAAAACTCACAACAACCCACTGTTAGATGGTCCTTTGGAAGGGCAGCATCTTCCCTCAAGGAAACAATGATGTGGCCACAATCCAAAGAGCTGTGGGCAACCGCCAAAGGCCAGTCCTGTTCGTTACAAACATGCAGGAGGCAGTCTTTAAGGCTTGGACGTTCCTCTCCCTTTTGCTTTTGCTGAGAGCACTGTGACAAAGCTTTGCCCGTCCTCCAAGACAAGACAGCAGCCTCACAATGTCTCTGGATAAAACAAAACACTGCTGCGCACGTAACAAAAATGCAATACAATCATTGTACAAGAGTCCAATCAATCTTTTGGCACTTTTCGCTTCATTTCTTCTTGGAAGCCCACCGTCGACCGATCCAATATAGAACTTGATGCAGGAAACTCAGAGAGTCGGAGTCTCTGCTTGTGTCTTTGGCAGTTTCAGACATTCAAAATCCCCCACCCACCCCTTATGGTCCAAATACCTTTCCATGGTTGGATACATGTCATAAAACAGTAGCCCCCTCCCCGCTTTGACCATCCCACTGAGTCATAAGCAGAACCCCATTTTGAAAAACAATCAACTTTTGCAGATATGAGCCGATATGCGGAAAGCTGGATATTCACGGATATCAGTAGCAGCGGATTTCGGCAAAGGAAAAGAGGAAGCAAGGGCCACGTTGTGAACAGGACCACGAGGCAAGAAATACACAGACACTGGGCACATTTTATGCTCATCGTGTGGGCAACTACTGAGGCAAACCTCTTGGGGTGTTTGAGAAACCCTTAGTAAACAAACGGCAATAGTTCAAGGCCCGTGCTTCTTCACAAAGGCCTTTAATACATTCAATAGCTTGCATGGCCAATGCAGACTTGCGCAAGTAACGCATATCCCCAAAGGTCTCTCTGCTGGATATCGGGGCTGTCCCCACAAGGAAGAACATGGTTCAAAGTGTGCAATATTCAACAGCCCTGGTTAAAGACCCCTCTAGAGACAAGAGGAGGCCTGGGGGTGTTTATTAGTCTCCCTAACTCTAACTTGTAGTGTGTCTCATTCCTCATCCCCACCAGCCTGTGATAAAAGGAAGACAAGATCACAGCCTCATGGCTTCCTGACACCTTCAGAGCTTGCTTCATCCCTCTCGCAAGGTCTAATGTGCCCCTGGGCGGCCCCTGCACTGGCACCCCTTGATTTCCACCCCATCTCCTGCATTCAGTGCCCCCTAATTTACTTGTAATGTTATTTGTTTGCTTTTGAAGTATCAAGACACTGATCCATCACACCACTTTTACTCCAAGAGCGTAGACAAACACACTCCTTCCATGTTGGGCCTGCAGCTGGGTGACCCAAGTGGCCACCTTCCAGGACTCAAAACACATTTCCACTCGAGAATTCCCACCAGGAAGACCGGAGAAAGGCCCAGAGTCACAAAAGCCACACAAATAAATGTAGGCTTAGAAATACTTTGGAAGACATGCCTCCACCCTTTAGAGGATAAGTGGCCATTCGACACCACTGGACATTTCGCTCAAAATGGTTACGAAAAGGACGGTTTCTCTGTGCTGGAGAAGGGACCGCATTCAAACTGTGCAATCTTAAAAAAACTGGAGACTGACAGGAGTTGGAAGGTGTTTTCTCACTGGCTGGGACAGCCATTCCATTCACACTATATAAAGGTAAAGGTTTCCCCTTGATTATAAGTCTAGTTGTGTCTGACTCTGCAAGGAGTGGTGCTCATCTCCATTGTCCATAGGCAACTGCAAGGTCATGTGGCCAGGATGACTGCATGGAGTGCCATTACCTTCCTGCCAAAGCGGTACCTATTGATCTACTCACATTTGCATGTTTTTGAACTGCTAGGTTGGCAGAAGCTGGGGCAAACAGCAGGAGCTCACCCCACTCCCTGGATCTGAAATGCCAAACTTCTGGTGAGGAAGTTCTGCAATTCAGCAGTTTAACCTGCTACGCCACCGGGGCTCCGCATCTATCCTGTTCCCAGAGTAATATTGGAACTTGCACTGCTAGCTAATATCTCCAGTCGGTCTGGCCTACTAAGAGCGTGGCTGAAGTCTGAGTTAACCCAAAGGAAGAGCAGGGTGGAGGAGGAGGAGAGCAAGAGGGGAGCATGTTTCCCTCTCCGTCTCTAGTTCTGCACCTTGAGCTGCCTTGCGCCTTGATCATGGTCTCCTCCTGCATTGGGGTCCTCTAACTTAAGGACATGTTTGGACAAGCTTGGAAGAACACTCAGAGAGGAGCTGGAAGGAATGCTCGCACTGGCTGAACAGCCACTCCACCCCCTTGTTGCATATTCTCTCTGCAAAGTGGTGATGGGTTGAGTTTCAGAATAAGAAGCTGTCCTTATGTCTGAATGCTCAATAATGCATGGTTATTGAAATATATTTATGTGCTTCTAAAACTCCAGTGGCCGGACCTGACCCCCTCTTTCAATTTACGGTTGCTTTTGTGATTTGAAACAGACAAAAACAGCGGATCCAAAGTGAGGTCTACTCCCAAAATTTGGGCCATAAACCAGACCTTAGGAAGTGCCTGCCTTGGGCGGGTGTCCTTCTGGATCTGGACGGACTACTCTTGAGAAGGATTAGTTTTTGTCTCAAAAGCATACTCAGGATGAAGCATGGCTTATGTGGGAAGAGCGAGAGAGGCCCAGGCATTGACGCTCCCCTTCCCCTCCAAAGGGAAATGCAGATAGGGTGGGCGGAAGGAGAGAGTAAGAGAGCAGCCCTTCCACTTTCCCAGATCTTTCTTTTATCTCAACCTCACATTATTCTAGAAAAGGCAACGCTGTTGTTCGCTTAAGTGCTACTTGGCGCCCGTCGTGGTGCTCTTGGACCGCAGGAAATACTGGTCGGCTCGCCCTCTCTGCCGGGCCACAGTCCGGTTCTCGCTGTCAAACTTCCGCTGGAGCTGCAGGGCCAGGCGCCGGTCCTCCTCCTCCTGCTGGACCTTCCTCTCCATCCTCCTCCTCTTCCTCCGCAGGAGTTCGGGAGCCGCTAGCCCTGCATTGCAGGCCGCCTGCCTCAGTCTCTTGACGGAGCCGGCCTGCTCCAGGTGCTTCATTTTGCACTGCCTCTTCCGCCCTCGCCTCAACGATGGGCCATCCTCGCCCACGGCTCTCTCGAGGCACAGGCCGTTTGGGAAGTGGGTCAGTTCGCTCTCATTCAGGTACTTCAGCTGCTGCTGCTTCTTCTTCTTTCCCCCGGCTGCCTTGAGGGACCGGCCTCGGGCCCCGTTCTCCGGAAATGCTGCGTTGATCCTGATGACTTTTCGGGGAACCATTTGCGCATCGATGTTCAGGCAAGAGCCAGCCAGGCACAGGGCCGATTTTGTGTCCGAGATCTCCGAAATCCTGGTGTTGAGAGGGTTCTTGTTGGGTCTTGCTGGACCAGCAGTCCCTGTGCCTAAGCCTCTCCTAAAACTGCAAGAGGAGTCTGTCTTGGAAGGGAAACGGTCTGATTCAGCCGGCGGGTCCTTGATCAGCGGATTTGCCCTCGGAACTGCAAATTCTTCCCCCGTTTCAGGGACGACGGACGTCAGGGTCGCTTTGGAGAGAGTCTTTTTGATCTGGCGCTCCTGGAAGATTTGCTCCCATTTCTTCAGAATCCGGGGACTCGCTTCGTAGGTGGTGGGCTTCTGCAGGCTTCGGGTCAGATTCCTGGGAGTGGACTTGATAATCAAAGGACTCAGGACGCGGCCGTCGGGAAGACGTTTGGGAGGCGTGCAGGGCGAGCAGACGATGGGCTTGAAATGGTTGAGCTCCTCGGAGATGCTGTCGTTGCTCTCGGGGCTGATGGACCGCTCGGGCTTTGGGAGGAGGGAGAGCGAAGAGGCTGCAGTGGCCGCACCGAGGACAAGGCGCTTGTCTGTGGTCAAGTCAGGGGCAGAGAGGCAGCGGCTATTCCAGGTGGAGGAGAGGACGCCCATCAGTGGGGTAGAGGCACTCACCAACAGGTTCACCTGCAAGACAGGCAAGTCCTCTTGTAAGAAAAAATGAAAACAATACAAGGATCTCAGAATCTTGTAGTTGGAAAGGACCATAAGATAAGTTGAATCCACGTTGAATCCACTTTTGTCTATACAACAGGCATGGGCAAACTTTGGCCCCTCCAGGTGTTTTGGACTTCAACTCCCACAATTCCTAACAGCCAGTAGGCTGTTAGGAATTGTGGGAGTTGAAGTCCAAAACACCTGGAGGGGCCAAAGTTTGCCTATGTCTGCAACAGTACAATTAGGAACAGTGAGAGCTATGTAGCTCAAGGTGTTTTGCTTCCTGCTTGAATGTATAGATCACTTTCCTTTTCTTCCCAAAAGTCTTTAGTGGTTTATTACTCTTTGTGAAGGAAGCGTCCTGAAGCCTCCCTCTGCTTTGAGATGGGCAACACACACAGACATGAAAAGCAGCATTAGGGACACCAAACTTAAGTAGCTTCCCTTTATCCATTTACTCTTAGACAACATGTATTGACCTGCAACAACAAATGTGAGCTTTTCCCCCTTTTTCAACATTACCAGAACAACCTGAGTATTTCTTCTCATGTTTCCCGCCATAAGCTCATATGTCCGTGATGGTGAACCTATGACATGCGTGTCAGCACTGACACGCATGTCTATTTTTGATGACACGCGGCCACATGTGGCTGCATACAGAGAAGTACACCTTATAAGAACCAATCTAATTCCATCCTTAAATTTGTAAAAGGCTCTACAAATTTGAGCATTGTTCACTCCATAACTCAGCATGGAATATACATTTTTCCTTAATTAAACTATAAATATTGCAAAATTATGTTGTTGTTTTTTTCTTGAAGTTGACACCCCACCCAAGTTATGCTCAAGTTTTTGGCAAATTTTGACACACCAAGCTCAAAAGGTTGCCCATCATTGTCATATGTTGTACTAGCTACGCTGCATTCTGCTCTGACGTAGACACCACATATCCCAATTCAAAACCTATCATACAGGAGTACACAGCAAAAAAATTGTAAAATTAGAAGCACAAAGCTGATTGGTTGAGCTTTGAGCAGGGAGAGGGATGAACCTGGGACTTTTGGTTACTGTTACATTTTTGTTCAGGCTCGAGCTATGCAGGTGCTCAGAGAGGAGCACAGAGAAGTGGAGTGAGAAGAAGACAGTGACTGAGTTTGGAGTGTGCTCACGCTTCATGAGCTGTTGAAGGAGTTTATCTACGTGGACAAAAAAGACCATTTTAAATCTCTCATAATAATAATAATAATTATTATTATTATTTATTACTCTTCGTTCTGGCCCAACTTACCTGTCCGAACGTATCTCCCCTTACGAACCACTGAGGACTTTAAGATTATCTGGGGAGGCCCTGCTCTCGGTCCCATCTCCGTCACAAGCACGTTTGGTGGGGACGAGACAGGGCCTTCTCAGTGGCGGCCCCTCGGCTATGCAATGCCCTCCCTAGGGAGATCAGATTTGCTCCCTCCCTCTTGATCTTTTGGAGGCAAGTTAAAACGTGGCTATTTGAGCAAGCTTTTACAAATACAGAGTAGCTAATATAGGAAATCGAATGACCTGACAATGGAACTGGACAATGCTTAAGAATAATGAGACGCTGATGATGTTGCTTTTATTGCTTTTGTGATGTTTTATACTGTTTAATGTTTTTTATCTATATTATGTTTTATGTATACTGATTTGTTGGAAACCGCCTTGAGTCGCCAATAGGCTGAGAAAGGCAGTATACAAATACAGCAAATAAATAAATATCATCATCATCTTTATTTATACCCTGCCACCATTTCCCCGAAGGGGACTCGGGGTGGCTAACATGAGGTCACGCCCAAAGATACAATACAACAGAATAAAATGTAAAAAAAACTCCCAAATACCAGACAAAAAAATTACATCAGAATAAAATACATACAGTAGCAAAGTAAAATAAATAAAGCAAATTGCCATAGCATAAAATCGGACACAACGGGCAGCCCAAATGGACGGGGTAAAATGATAAAACTCTGGATGAGGTAGGAATAAAAAAAAGTGTAAATTGAGAGGAGGCCAAAAAGGATGACCAGTGGGGTTAGGCTTTCAGTTTAGGAAGGGGGAAAGTGCATCATAGGGCAGAAAAGGACATTATGTAAGTTGATGCAACTGATCACATTGTACATACTGTAAGACAAAAAAATATACTGCCATTAGTGACTTTCCACCTCTACAGGGCATATTGCTCTTCCTGCAGGAAAAATCAGGACATTTTCCAAAAGTGGGAACCTAATACGGTTTTTCTACTCCAAGGTCAAAAGCTTCTGCAGTACCTTGGTTCTGACAGGAGCTGATCTCTGCCGGCTCTTCGATCTTTCCTGAAGGGTGTCGTTGCAACTCTGGCTCCTTTCTACTTTAGAGCTCAAGTTTCTAAAATATCAGGGGGGAAAATAAGGGCTTAGAAAAACAAATAAGACAATAACAAAGTCATCTAAATCACTAAGAAGCATTTATAATATGAAGAGTAAATATCAGCTTGCTCTTGATGCCAAGTTTTCTGCTAGAAAGAAGCAAGGAGAGACGGATGCGAAGCAAGACCATATGTGAAGGAAACAGGCCTTGGCCTGGACTATTTAGGCCTTTTATCTCACCAATTGCTCTGATTATTGTGAACCATTTTGTATATATGCACAAAGACATATTCAAATATGGTAAACACAAATACAGTATATACTTGAGTATAAGCCGACCCAAATATAAGCTGGGCACCTAATTTTACCACAAAAAAATGGGAAAACGTATTGAGTCGAATAGAAGCCGAAGGTGGGAAATGCAGCAGCTACTGGTAAATTTCAAAATAAAAATAGATACCAATAAAATTACATTAATCGAGGCATCAGGAGGTTAAATGTTTTTGAATATTTACACAAAATATTAATTTAAGATAAGACTGTCCAACTCTGATTCTAAACATTCAATGTAAATGTGCTTATGTACCCTTCCTATAATAACAGAATTAAATAATAAATGTAATAATAATAATAATAATAATAATAATAATAATAATGTAAAGTAATGGAAATGTAATAATAATAGTAATAGAGTAAAATAGTAAATGTAGTAATAATAAACATAATAACAATAAGAGTAAAGTAATAAATATAATATTAGAGTAAAATAATAAACATAATAACAATAATAGAGAAAATAATAAATGTAATAATAATAGAGTAAAATAGTAAATGTAATAATAATACAGTAAAATAATAAACGTAATAACAATAATAGAGAAAAATAATAAATGTAATAATAAGAGTAAAATAATAAACATAATAACAATAGTAGAGAAAAATAATAAATGTAATAATAATAGAGAAAAATAGTAAATGTAATAATAGAATAAAATAGTAAATGCAATAATAATAGAGTAAAATAATAAATGTAATAATAATAGAGTAAAATAATAAATGTAATAACAATAATAGAGAAAATAATAAACGTAATAATAATAGAGCAAAATAGTAAATGTAATAATAACAATAATAAATAGAGTTTATTTATTTATCATGTCAGTATCAACCAGACAAATAAAAAAATGAATAAAAATAGAGTAAAATAATGTAAATGTAATAATAATAATAGACAGAGGGATATAATAAATGTAATAAAATAATAGAGTAACATAATGTCAAAATAATAATAATAATAATAATAATAATAATAATAAAATAAATAAATAGAGGAAAATAAGAAATAACCTTGACTCTAGGATAAGCCGAGAAGGGCTATTTCAGTCTCTAAAAGGGGCTGAAAAACTGAGCTTATACTCGAGTACATACAGTAAATCAATAATCAAGTTCATGTCATATGGTGATCACTAGGAGGCTGTGAAACCTTCAGAGGCACAAACATTAAGCCTTTCTGCTCCATCGGATTGCCAAGAAACAAATGAAAAAAATCTAGCTAAATCAGGCATGGGCAAACTTCAGCCCTCCAGGTGTTTTGGACATCAACTCTCACAATTCCTAACAGTCTACCAGCTGTTAGGAATTGAAGTCCAAAACACCTGGAGGGCCAAAGTTTGCCTATGCCTATGCTAAATTGATCTTTTATGCTATGTTGCCCATCATCCCATCGATTCCAACAAAGCTGGGAGTGATACATTTCTTCCTGCTGTCTGCAATTTAAGCACTGACATGTCACCCCATAAATACTTCTCACAGATGTTTTTATAATTCATTGTTTATTCCCAGAGCAGATTCTCCACCCGCTGTGTGTGTCCCAAACTCCTTCTGGTTCTGCCCTTCCCTTGGCTGCCAAAGTCCTGCCTGAGGCCTCACCCTGCCAGCAACGCGCCTGAGAAGGTGCTTCCCTTGGAGACAAAAGCTGACCGGTGCACAGACTTGTCTTGAAAGGGCTCCTCATTCTCAGAATCAGAGAGGCATTCCGGAAACTAAAGTTAATCAGAAAAAGAACAGGTGATATTTTTGCAAACACTGTTCATCTAGCAATGCATAAGATTGTGTTAACAACCTACACATCCTGCATGCGGTATTGTCACCTCTGTTAAGTGAACTAGAATCATGGAATCATGGAGTTGGAAGAGACCTCGTGGGCCATCCAGTCCAACCCCATTCTGCCAAGAAGCAGGAAAATTTCATTCAAAGCACTCCCTACAGATGGCCATCCAGCCTCTGTTTAAAAAACCCCAAAAGAGAAGCCTCTACCACACTCTGGGGCAGAGAGTTCCACTGCTGAACAGCTCTCAGAGTCAGGAAGTTCTTCCTAATGTTCAGATGGAATCTCCTTTCTTGTAGTTTGAAGCCATTGCTTCGCGTCCTAGTCTCCAGGGCTGCAGAAAACAAGCTTGCTCCCTCCTCCCTATTTTTTTTTTTTTGGTCGTGTCAGAAGCGACTTGAGAAACTGCAAGTCGCTTCTGGTGTGAGAGAATTGGCCGCCTGCAAGGACGTTGCCCAGGGGACGCCCGGATGATTTGATGTTTTATCATCCTTGTGGGAGGCTTCTCTCATGTCCCTGCATGAAGAGCTGGAGCTGATAGAGGGAGCTCATCCGCCTCTCCCTGGATTCGAACCTGCGACCTGTCGGTCTTCAGTCCTGCCGTCACAGTGCTTTAACCCACTGCGCCACCGGGGGCTCCCCTCCTCCTCCCTATGACTTCCTCTCATATATTTATACATGGCTATCATATCTCCTCTCAGCCTTCTCTTCTTCAGGCTAAACATGCACAGCTCTTTAAGCCGCTCCTCATAGGGCTTGTTCTCCAGACCCTTGATCACTTTAGTCGCTCCCCTCTGGACACATTCCAGCTTGTCAATATCTCTCTTCAATTGTGGTGCCCAGAATTGGACACAATATTCCAATTGTAATATTTATATATATCAGGCATGGGCAAACTTGAGCCCTCCAGGTGTTTTGGACTTCAACTCCCACAATTCCTAACAGCCTACCGGCATGATGGTTTTTTTCTAGTGAAATATGAAGCAGGATCAACTCTAGACACTAGGCTCCTATTGATGCAGGCCAAAATCCCGTTGGCTTTTTTTTTTTTTTGCCGCCACATCACATTGTTGGCTCATGTTTAACATGTTGTCCACGAGGACTCCAAGATCTTTTTCACACGTACTTCTCTCGAGCCAGGCATCCCCCAGATGCCATGAGCAGATCCCCTTTATCCTATTGATGAGAAGCCTCAGAAGCATTTTGAGGCAATAGCACATGCAATGGCATCAAGCCACGTACCTGCTCTTGGGTCATTCTGACTGTAAAGGACTCCTCTTTCTTCGGCTCGTCTGCCTTCCTCCTCCCTGCATCAGCTTCTTCTACAATCAGCTTGTGAAGAAGATCCTCAGGTGTCCTCTCCTCTTGAAAGCGGTCACTTCTCAACTTCAAGCAAGGAAAAAAAAGAATTTCACATTTGAACAAGAGGTAGAAACGAAGGCCCTCGAGTCTTCTCTGCCTTTACCTAGGAGACCAACACCATTCTGTTCTACTATACTGGAGTGGGCAACTATGAAAGGGCCCAGGGGACATTTTTGTGTCCCCCTCCAACAAGACACACCAATGGGCCAAAGACATCTTTTTAAGGAATAGATTACTGCAACGCGCTCTACGTGGGGTTGCCTTTGAAGACTGTTCGGAAACTTCACTTAGTCCAACGGGCGGTGGCTAGATTACTCACCAGAGCATCATACAGGGAGCATACTACCCCCCCCCCCCCCCCCCCCCCCCGTTATGTCAGCTCCACTGGCTGCCGATCCAGTTCCGAGGACAAATCAAAGTGCTGGTTTTGACCTACAAAACCCTTTACGGCTCCGGCCCAGCGTACCTGTCCGAACGTATCTCCTTCTACGTCCCACCTCAGAGTTTAAGATCTTCTAGGGAGGCCCTGCTCTCGGCCCCACCTTTATCACAAGTGAGACTGGTGGGGACGAGGGACAGGGCCTTCTCGGTGGTGGCCCCTCGCCTGTGGAATGCACTCCCCGGGGAAATTAGGTCATCAACATCCCTCCTCTCTTTCAGAAGGAAGTTAAAAACCTGGATATGGGACCAGGCCTTTGGGTAAGCTGGCAGACAGATAAAAGACAATGACGACCAGAGCAGGAAAGGACAATTACAATGCTGGATGGATTATGGATTTATGAATTAGCAAACGTTGACCACAACATGATTTTATTGCTATTGTATTAATTTGATTGTTTTAACTAGTTATAACTAGTTGTCGTTATATTGTATTTTTGTCTATTGTATTAAGTGAACTGTTGGGCATCGAATTGTGCCTTTTGTAAGCCGCCCTGAGTCCCCCCTAGGGGGTTGAGAAGGGCGGGGTAGAAGCACTCCAAATAAATAAATAAAAATGCCAGAATATTGTAATTATTTAAGGGACTGTTGGGAGGCTTTCAATGCATCAGGATTAGGGCTGGAAGAAAAATGTAAAAAATACTGCTTACAGAGGCTTCCTTGTGAGCAAGAATCATTCTATTTGTGGAAGTTCTCTAAACAACCAACACTTTTTACACAAGCAGAAAAGGCAGGGCTAGCACACTCTTCCCCTCTCATGCTTAGTCCACATGTTTCTGAATGCCTTAACAGGGCTACTGTCAACCAATATGAGAAAATGAAAAAGGTTCAACCCAAACTGCTCCATGCTGGTATGAATACATACCAGAGGCATACATACAAAAGGGTTATATGGAGTAGTTAGCAGTAATGAACCCTTTAAAGGTTAGGAGCCAGAGAACAAAAAAGGAACAAGGGTACTACGAATTGATGTACTGTGCTCAAGCTGTACCTTTCGCAGCTGGCTTTTATATTCTTCACGAAGCTCTCCAGGCTTGCTTAATGTTATGGGTGCTCTGAATATGAAATCTGTTGGCAGAAAAAAGGGGGAAAAGATTGTTTAGGGCTTTAAACACTCGCAGAAATGTCATAGAAGCATGCTTACTCCTGACTACTACTAATACTACACCAAGTAAATGTATTTTCACATGTAGATATCATGGCAGGGAAGGCCTTAGCCCAGTGATTCTCAACCTGGGGTCCCCAGATGTTTTTGGCCTACAACTCCCAGAAATCCCAGCCAGTTTACCAGCTGTTACGATTTCTGGGAGTTAAAGACCAAAAACATCTGGGGACCCCAGGCTGAGAACCACTGCCTTAGTCTCTCCCCCCAAACAAAAACGTCCAGTTCAAAATTCAGAGGTTTGGCAATAACACCGCAGCACAAATGCATAAGGTAAACAACAGACATCCAGGGAGTACACGTTAATATGCCTTGTTACCTCAAAAGAAGTCGGGAGGGAAATGCCTAAGCGCAGCTTTAAAAGACACACCCACTTCAGCAAAATGCATGTCCAGACAAGTCACCTTCTGGAATTAAAGAACTATTCTCGGCATTTGTGTCGCAAAAACAACAACAAGTAGAACTTACAAACCCACTGGCCCTGGAAAGGGAGATGCGAGTGGAATCCCACTAGCCAAGCACAAGAAAACTCCCCAAATTTAGAAAACAAAGATCCATTTCAGAATGATATGGACATGCTTACTTTCAAACTGAAGCAGAAGGGCAGGATTCAAAGAGCAGAGAAGCAGTCCAAGTGACGAATGCATGTACTTTACTTCTTCTGGGCACCAGCACAATACCTTTCTTCAACTCACCTGGTCTTTATGACCTTTAAGGTGAATTAAGGAATCACATGCCAAAGTGTCAGCGTTTGCTAAATAGCAGAGCAGTAATGAGGCTACGGAAGCTGCAATGCTTGGCTAGAATGCGTGCCAAGAAGGGTGGGGAAGCCAGAGACGTAGGGAGGAATTTCCATAGACGTAGCCTTCGGTCACACATGATGCAGACTTCCTGATAATGAGGAAGCATCCCAGACCTGATCGGTTGCCCACCAGGAATTTAGACAAGTGGGATCAGAGGGCAGCCACCTTTTCAGCATCAGGAGATGTACTCATTTTTGCAGAACTCTCCTGAGGCTAAGCTCTGGTTGCTGGCCAAATTAAGTGAGCTATACTTATAATTCCGTCTCTTAATAAAACACATGAAAACAAACAGAAGAACAGCAGAAAGCTGGTACTCCCATTTCAAAAGCATATACCTTCACCAGTTGAACAGCAATGCTCAACTGACCAGCAATGATCAACCAAGATCACCTTCTTTCAAGACGCCACTGTCAATTTAGTTTTCTTTTCCAGGCACAAAAAATACCAGACTGCTAAGAAGATACTAAGGATCAAATCAACCTTTATGGCAGGCCTGCACAACCTGTGGCCCTCTACGTGTTCTGGATTTCAATTCCCAGAATCCCTGGCCATTGAATCAAGCTGGCCAAGGCTTCTGGGAGTTGGAGGCCCAAACATCTGAAAGGTCACGGGTTGTGCAGGCCTGTTTAATAGGGTGTGTGTGAGGGGGGATTGTTGGACTTCACTTCAAAAAGAGTTTAATTATCTAAATATCTAAATTACACTTCCACAATACACACAATATCACAATAGAGGCACAAATCACAATCTAAAATTGTGCCCTTCCCCCTTTGTCACTTTTCCAAGTCACAGTTATGCACTATGTGATGATCCAAGTTCGAAGTTCAGGGTCTTCTAATATGCATCTAGTTTGGTCATAAAACTCAATGCAGGTACCCAATATCTTCCCCTTGCCCCCAAAATAAGTCCCCGGTACAAGCAATTAAGTAAAATCTTAATTGCTCTCCCACCCGGGCTTCCAAAAGCCCAAACATCCTTAAAAGCATGCTAGAAAGTACAGATCTGCACTTAATGACAGTGCCTGTAGTTCATCAATGTACAATTAATGCCCATGTCACACAATGTGTAATACCTTTAAGGGCATAACCATCCTCATACAATAAGTACCAATTACCTCCAAATACACTTTAGGCACCTTTGTACAAACAAGCAGGACATAAAGATAGATTCCTCCATGCTTAAGTCCAAAATTCAGCCCATGGTAGTCATTCAGGGTACAAGAATATACAGTGGGAGTCATTACACCAAAATAGCAAAGAATATATACCGGTAGTTAGAAAAAACTGTGGTTAGATGGATTATCACAAATCTGCCCTCTTACAAACAGTATTTCACTCAGGAGTAGGTTATGTTATTGCAAGTATTCTTTATGCTTCTTTCACTCATGTACCTAAGTGGTGACACAGGGGTTCTCCTTCCAAATGCAAATACACCTTAATTTTAAGATGAATTCCTGGATATGTGTTATTTAACAGAAAATTTAGTAGCAAAGTAAAAAATAACAAGAATAGGTAGCGATTCCAGCATTCCAATCTATATAAATAAAAATGTAATGTTCATTTATGGGTGAATAACTCGGGACTATGTCTGTTCTTGTTTTATTGTATTTTAAAGTTAATTGTATTGTTTTAATCTACTGCAGTAAACCGCTCCGAGCCAAATTGGGAGTAGCGGTTATACAAGTCAAATATAGCCATATAGCCCAAAAAAACCTACAACAACCCAGTGATTCTGGCCATGAAAGCCTTCGACAATACTTTCTAAGTTTCCTTTACATCAGTGGTTGACCAGGGACCACTTGACCAGGGACCACTCTCTAACATTAGTACCAAAAGAATCTGTTTTTGGTCAACTTTAGATTGGTTATTTGGGGTGCCAATTCAGAAAATTGCATTGGATAGACCACATCAGCTCTGGTTTCTGATACAGAACATATGCCATCCAGTAGTCGCCATCTGCTCACCCACAGAACACCATATTTAATAATCTAGAGCTGATGTGGTGGTAGTAGTAATGTTTTGTGGGTAGTCAGCCTCTCCTCTCCCCACATCTTCATTGCCTTGACACTATAAGAGGGTTTTGTGAGACCTATCCCTCTCTTTGACACGTGGTTTTGAGGCAACAGTGTAGTAAGGGTGAGGCTGTGGGCCACTGGTGGTCTATGGACCACAGGTTGGGAACCACTGCTTTACACATTTACACTCAAGAGATCAGCACCATTCACTATCAAATGTTAATATTACAGCCACTTCTATCATGAATTCAGAGAATACTGAAAAGCTACAGAGTCAGTAGCTCTACTCCGGTGTTAAATACTCCACTCTAGATGCTGATATGCATGCTATCAATGTAACCCAACTGTCATAAAACTTGTATTGGTTGGAAAGGGTCTCTGGGTATGTACAAACGTCTAGACCTTGGGGACTGACCTGGTCTCCTGTCCCCACCCATACACACACAGCATCCTCCAGCAAATGCCAGTGATGAAACAGAAGATGAGGACATGGCACAATGGTATCTCCCCAACATTGCCCATGCAGAGCCAGCACAGTGTAGTGGTTTGACACTGAACTATGACTCCGGTGACCAGGGTTTGAATCACTGCAGGGCCATGGAGGCCCACTGGGTTGATCTGGAGGCCAATGCAACCCCCTCTATAAACAAATCTTGGCAGGAAAACCCTATGATATGTTTGCATTATGGTCTCTGCAAGTCAGAAACAATTTGAAGGTACACAACGACATATGCATGTATCAATGCCAGAAATTGTAGGTCTTTGGTTGTCTACATGTGCTGAGCTCCAACAACCACTTTTGTTTGCCTTATCCCATCCTGCGTGAAAGGTATAGGTCAAAAACATTATCAAGGTTTCCCCAACCTTGATGTAAAGTCAAAGTCTTCATCTTAACTTCTGTTTCCTAAGGGCAAAGATTTCCCATTTAGAGCAATGCAGTTTTCCCTCCACATTTGTGGCTATCACCAGAGTAGAAATTGGACAGATGAAAAGCTATTTAACCTCAGCAGACTGAAAGCCAAAACCAAGGTTACAACAACATCTGTTATAGAACTCCAATATGCTGATGACAACGTTGTCTGTATGCATTCAGAAGAAGACCTACAAGCCACTCTGAACACCTTCACAAAAGCATACGAGAAGCTCGGCCTGTCATTGAACATCGAGAAAACCAAAGTGCTCTTCCAGCAGACACCAGCCAATTCCTCTCCAATACCAGAAATACAGCTTAATGGTGTAACATTAGAAAACGTTGACCATTTCCGTTACCACAAAAGTCAAAATTGACACTGAAATGCAACACCACCTGAGCTCTGCGAGTGCAGCGTTTTCCCAAATGAAGCAGAGAATGTTTGAGGACTGGAACATCCATAGGGAGACCAAGGTGCTTGTTTATAAAGCTATTGTCCTCCTGACCCTGCTTTATGCCTGCGAAACGTGGACTATCTACAGACGTCACATACAACTCCTGGAACAATTCCATCAGCGTTGTCTCCGAAAAATCCTGCAAATCTCTTGGGAAGACAAGCGGACAAATGTCAGCATGCTGGAAGAAGCAGAGACCACCAGTATTGAAGCGATGGTCCTCCGCCATCAGCCCCGCTGGACCAGCCATGTTGTCCGAATGGCCAAAGATCACAGTCTCCCAAAGCAGTTATTTATTTATTTACTTTATTTATATACCGCTTTTCTCAGCCCACAGGCGACTCAACTCTACTCTGAACTCAAGAACGGAAAACGGAATGTTGGAGGACAGGAAAAGAGATTTAAAGATGGGCTCAAAGCCAACCTTAAAAACTGTGGCATAGACACTGAGAACTGGGAAGCCCTGGTCCTTGAGCTCTTCTAGGTGGAGGTCAGCTGTGACCAGCAATGCTGCAGAATTCAAAGAGGCACAAATGGAGGGTGAAAGAGAGAAATGTGCCAAGAGGAAAGCATGTCAAGCCAACCCCGATAGGGACCACCTTCCACCTGGAAACCAATGCCCTCACTGTGAGAACATGCGGGTCAAGAACAGGGCTCCACAGTCACCTACGGACCCACCCTCAGGACACCGCACTTGAAGGACAATCTTACTCAGACAATTAGGGATCGCCTAAGTATTAAGTAAAGTATGCATGTGATTATTTGCTGCCACCTCTGTTGCACCAATTTCAATAGAGACTTCAATAAAATCTTGTGTCTATCTGAGTTCTGTTTAAGTAAGTAAAGCTTAGCCATTGAGTGAATCTCTTATTGATGGAAAAATTCTAATGACAGTGCAGAAGTTAGGACAGTGTGGAAGTAGGCACAATAAACCCCCTTTAAATGTCTTTTACCATGAAAAAGATATGATGGAAACTCTGGAACAATCCAAAATAGAACAAGATAGTTCCCTAAGATTGAAAGACGCTCAACCAGCAGTAGACAAGTACAAGCAGTTTTGCAGCTAATGATGCAACTGGACTCAGGCTGAAAGGATGTCCACTTATTGATGGGAAAGGGAAGTTTGAAGTTGCACAACCATGTGCCAAGAACATGGAATGTGAGAAGCATGAATGAGAGGAAGCCAGGCATAGTAAAACAAGAAATGGAATGTACAAACATTCCAATACTTGGAGTAAGTGGGTTAAAATGGAGAGGAAGGGGTCATTTTGAGTGAGGTAATTACAGTGTTTACTCAGGAAATGAAAATCTAAGAAGAAATGGGGTGAGGAGAGAGGTAGCAAAAGCAGTCCAAGGATATCGTGCAAAGTCTGACCAGCTCATGCCAATAAGGCTTCAGGGAGAAGACATTATCATAATCCAGAAGCAAAAGGAGAAATTGACGTTGCACTGGAGTCTAGGAGGAAATTGATCACATAGCAACACAAAACTTGTTAATCATAGATTACCACCTCTGGGGATGCCTGCCATAGATGCAGGCAAAACGTCAGGAGAGAATGCTTCTAGAACATGGCTGTATAGCCTGAAAAACCTACAACAGCCCATAATTAAGAAGTACAATGGGGCAAGAAAGACTGACTCAACTTACACTCTTGAGTGTTGCTGGAGCTTGATTTCTGTCAAAGTATATTGACACAGTTTTCAAGTGTTTCTAACAGGTGTTGTATTCTTTTGTAACCACGAAATTACCAATTAAGAATTATTGACAGGGTTTTTTTAGACTTGAAACTTTGTAGCTAAAATAGAAATTTGATTTAATTAAGTTTATATTAAAATACAGAATTAAAATTATTTTGTGTGATGGAGCTACTCTTCATGATTTGCTAAAAATAATGTTTTAAACCCACACCCACCCCAATTTTTTTCTGGCTTTGGGCTGGATGAGGACTATTGATGTTACATAATGCACTCCGTCAATAGTCTCACAACCTCTGAGGATGCCTGCCATAGATGTAGATGAAATGTCAGGAGACAATGCTTCTAGAACATGGCCATGGTCTGAAAAACCCGCACAACCTTTAAAATGGCCTGAAAAACTAGGCTTACACTCGAGTATATACAGTAATTAGATATAGAAGACGGAAAAGCTCAATTTTCTCTACACAAAGAATCCAGGAGCAGACTGTGGCACAGACTATGAAATGCTAATACACATATATTTACACAAATATATACACACACACATATATACACACACAAAACACATATACACAGACTGGGCCACAGCATGTATGCGCAAAACCACATATATACACAAAAATGCATATATTCACATATACACAAATATATACACACATGCATATACAAATATATACACACATAAATCATGCATACACAGACTGGGCCACAGCACGCATGTGCAAAACCACATATATACACAAAAACACATATATACAAATATATATATACAAACACAACCATATACAAATATATACCACCACCCCCTCACTACCTCTGAGGATGCTTGCCATAGATGCAGGCGAAACGTCAGGAGAAATGCCTCTAGAACATGGCCCTATAGCCCGAAAAAACCCACAAGAACCTATATACAAATATATATACACACACCTATATACATATATACACACACAAACCACATATACACAGACTTGGCCACAGCACACATGTGCAAAACCACATATATACACAAACATACACATATATACAAATATATATACACACACATACACACACAAAACACATATACACAGACTGGGCCACAGCACACATGTGCAAAACCACATATATACACAAACATACACATATATACAAATAAATCTACACACACATACACACACAAACCACATATACACAGACTGGACCACAACATGCATGTGCAAAACCACATACGTGCACAAACACACACACATACACACACAAACCACATATACACAGACTGGGCCACAGGACGCATGTGCAAAATAATAATAATAATAATAATAATACCGTATATATATATAACCATATATATATATATATATATATATATATATATACAAACCCACACATATACATATATACTCACACACATAAAACACGTATACACAGACTGGGCCACAGCACGGATGCGCAAAACCACATATATACACAAACTTACATATATACACATATACACAAATATATACACACACAAAACACATATACACAGACTGGACCACAGCAACGCGTGGCAGGGGACGGCTAGTATGTATCTTATACATATAATCAGTAAGTAATTGGGTTGCTGTGAGTTTTCTGGGCTGTCTGGCCATGCTCCAGAAGCATTCTCTCCTGACGTTTCGCCTCCATCTATGCTAGGCAGACTTCAAAACATAAGATGCAAGTTGAAAACTCATGATTAAAACTGGGTCCCAAGAAAGCTTGGAAACCCGCAATTGTGCTCCTCCTCCTGACACGTGTCAACCGAAATAGACACCAATGGGCACCTAACAGGGACGCTTTCCCCTTCTGACTGTTTACAAGGGAGACCCAACGCCTTTCCTTTTAGCCACAGCCCGGTAGGGACGAGCCTGACTCGCGTGTTCCCCCATCCACACGTTACACGTGTCAACACTCACGCGTGTAGACCGACGGTCCTCTTTTTCTTTCCCTTTACCTCCTTTTCCCAAGTTATGGCTCCTACCAGTCAAAAACAACACGCATTCACACGTGCACTGCGCCAGACACGCGTTACTTGGCCCGCGTATAATCACACACACGGGGAAATGCTTTTTTGGTGACAGGAAAACCAATTTCTAATTTTAATCCCTCAGACTGAGACCAACACGGGTGTTTCCCAGTCACGGGTTGGCCCCTTCACACGATACGTGTCGCAAACGCGCACCTCGCTCGGGCTGGAGGGTGGGCGGCGGCGGGGGCGCCTCTCCTGGCTCCTCGGGCCCTTCCCGGCGCGGCGGAGCGGCCTGGCGGGGCCTGCGGCCTTCCCCAAGCAGTGGCGCGGCCCTCACGCCAACGCCGAGCGCCGCCGCCATTTTCTCGCAGCGCGGGGGGCGGGGACAAACCGCCGCCTAGGCCCGGCCCATTCGTTACATATTCATGAGCCGCGCTCCAATGCCAGCGCAGGAAAACAACCAGGCCACGCCCACTCTCTCCATATTCATGAGTCCCTCATTGCCCGCCCACTCGCTCAATCTCCATCGCCCCGCCCATCGTTGCGCAGGAAACCAACCGTCGCGCAGGCCACGCCCACTCGCTACACAGTCACATACCTCAGGCCACGCCCACTCATTCCATATTCATAAGTCTCTCAAGAAAGATACCGCCTCTTAGGCCACGCCCACTCACTCCATATTCATGTCCCGCCCCTTTTTGCCTGCGTAGGAAGCTAACCAAGCCACGCCCACACACTCCAGAAACCAACCATCGCACAGACCACGCCCACTCGCTACACAGTCACATACCTCAGGAAAGAAACCAGGCCACGCCCACTCATTCCATATTCATAACTCTCTCATGAAACATACCGCCGCTTAGGCCACGCCCACTCACTCCATATTCATGTCCCGCCCCAATTTATTTATCGTGTCATCAGCAACCATTGTATTACAATGCTAGCAGAGCAAAACAAACACACAGATTAACAAGAAAAAGAAAAAAAAAACACAGAGATCACCCATGAATTGAGGTGCTGGGTTTGGGCCTGCCATCTTTGGACTCTTGCTTGCTGGGGTGTTCCACCGAGTGTCTCTGTAGATCTAAGAAAACTATGTCTTGTCCAAGGCTTTCATGACTGGAATCACTAGGTTCTTGTGGATTTTTTCGGGCTATAGAGCCATGTTCTAGAGGCATTTCTCCTGACGTTTCGCCTGCATCTATGGCAAGCATCCTCAGAGGTTGTGAGGTCTGTTGGAAGTAGGAAAAATGGGTTTATATATCTGTGGAATGGTGGAGGTGGGGCAAGGAGCTCTTCCCTGCTGCAGTTAGGTGTGAATGTTTAGCTGATCACCTTCATTAGCATTTGAAGGCCTGCCTGAGCCTGGGAAAATCTGTTGCTGGGAGGTGTTAATCTGTGCCTGGTTTTTTCCTCTCTGTTGTTTAGCTGTTATAATTTTAGAGTTTTTAATACTGGTAGCCAGATTTTGTTCATTTTCATGGTCTTTTCCTTTCTGTTGAAATTGTCCACATGCTTGTGGATTTCAATGGCTTCTCTGTGTAGTCTGACATGGTGTTGTTGGTGTGGTCCAGCATTTCTGTGTTTTCAAATAATATGCTGTGTCCAGGCTGGTTCATCAGGTGCTCTGCTCTGGCTGACTTCTCTGGTTGAAGTAGTCTGCCGTGCCTTTCATGTCCCTTGATGCGTGTCTGGGCGCTGCGTTTGGTGGGAATAGGGAAGCTGATGAGGAAACACAACATACAAACTATCTACAGACCCACCAAGAAAATCCAACAAATGCTACGTTCAGCAAAGGACAAGAGGGATCCTCTCACATCTGCAGGAGTCTACCGTGTACCATGCAGCTGTGGACAAGTCTACATAGGGACCACCAAACGCAGCGCCCAGACACGCATCGAGGAACATGAAAGGCACTGCAGACTACTTCAAACCAGAGAAGTCAGCCATAGCAGAGCACCTGATGAACCAGCCTGGACACAGCATATTATTTGAGAACACAGAAATGCTGGACCACACCAACAACCACCATGTCAGACTACACAGAGAAGCCATTGAAATCCACAAGCATGTGGACAATTTCAACAGAAAGGAGGAAACCATGAAAATGAACACAATCTGGCTACCAGTATTAAAAAACTCTAAAATTACAACAGCAAAACAGCAGAGGAAACAACCAGGCACATCTTACACCTCTCAACAGAACCTTTTCCCAGGCTCAGGCAGGCCTTCAAATGCTAATGAAGGTGGTCAGTTGAAACATTCACACCTAGCTCCAGCAGACTTTGTCCCACCCTGGTCATTCCACAGATATATAAACCCATTGTCCTAATTCCAACAGACCTCACAGACCTCATCATACGAAAGCCAGTCAGCTTTCCTATGATATTGTTTATAGCGCCCACGTTTTGCTTGATGTTCAGGCAGTGCTTCTTGTAGGTCAGAGCACGGTCCAGAGTGACTCCCAGGTATTTCGGTGCGCTGCAATGCTCCAGAGGGATTCCTTCCCAGGTAATCCTCAGAGCTCGGGATGCTTGTCTGTTCTCAAAGTGAAAGGCGCATGTCTGTGTTTTAGATGGATTAGGGACCAGCTAGTTTCCCCTGTAATAGGCAGTAAGGGCACCCAGAGCTTCAGAGAGCTTCTGTTCAACCATCTCAAAGCTCCCTGCTTGAGCGGTGATGGCACGATCATCAGCATAGATGAAACTCTCTGTCCCTTCTGGCAGTGGCTGGTCATTTGTGTAGATGTTGAACATGGATGGAGCAAGCACGCTCCCCTGAGGCAGGCCGTTCTTCTGTTTCCGCCATCTGCTTCTCTGGCCCTGGAACTCAACAAAAAAGCTCCTGTTTTGTGGCAGGTTTCCTATGAGGCGGGTGAGGTGGTCGTCCTTTGTGATATTATGCATTTTTCTCAGGAGGAGGCAGCGGTGGTTCACAGTATCATAAGCCGCTGACAGGTCTATGAAGACATCTCTTGTGATCTGCTGCCTTTCAAAGCCATCTTCTATGTGCTGAGTCAGGTTCAGCACTTGCGATGTGCAGCTTTTGCCTTTCCTGAAGCCGCTTGCTGTGGGTCTATATTTTCCATAATTCTATGCAAAATAAGTCTCTCCAGGACTTTGTAGAGGTCTCGCCCCTTATTGCCTGTGATGAAACTAACTAAGCCACGCCCACACACTCCATATTCATGACCCTCTTATGAAAGATACAGCCGCTCAGGCCACGCCCACTCTCTCCATATTTATGAGCGCGAGCGTAACCAACGACGGTTGGGAACAGCCGCGTAGGCCACGCCCACCCGCTCCATCCCCCCGCCCATCAGTGCTCGCGCTGGAAACCAACCGTCGCGCAGGCCCCGCCCACTCGCTCCATATTCATGAGCGCGAGCGTACCAACGACGGTTGGGAACCGCCGCGTAGACCACGCCCACCCGCTCCATCATTGGTCGCGCTGGAAACCAACCGTCGCTCAGGCCCCGCCCACTCGCTCCATATTCATGAGCGCGAGCAAGCCACTGACTATTGAGAAGAGGCCCGCCATTTTTGAACCCCGCCTCCTTTTCTCTCTAGCCCCGCCTCTTAATGTATTAAAAAAAAACAGCCGGTTCCTGTTGTCCAATGAGAAGGCCGTCATTCAAAATAAGCCCGCCCCCTCATGAATATTAATTTAATAACGGTCGTCCCCTCAAGCTCAGTTTGTTTTGCTCCTATTTCCTCTCACCTCACAAAACTGAGATTCCTGAAAGCTTTTAAAGTGTCCTGTTTATATTAAAATAGGGCTTATCTATTTCTACATTGGTTTTACTGATTCAGTTTAATAATTATAGGTATATAATTATAAATATATAATTATAAATTTTTTTTGTCGTGTCAGGAGTGACTTGAGAAACTGCAAGTCGCTTCTGTTGTGAGAGAATTGGCAGTCTACAAGGACGTTGCCCAGGGGACGCCCGGATGATTTGATATTTTTATCATCCTTGTGGGAGGCTTCTCTCATGTCCCCGCATGAGGAGCTGGAGCTGATAGAGGGAGCTCATCCACCTCTCCACGGATTTGAACCTGCGACCTGCGGGTCTTCAGTCCTGCCAGCACAAGGGTTTAACCCACTGCGCCACTGGGGTCTGGTTGCTCCTGACACGATAAATAAAATAAATATTATAGGGGAGGAGAGCAAGGACCACCCTAAAAGAGTGAAGAGGAGAAACATCACACCGGCAACGAAGATCAGCATACTCAAAGCAATGGTATTCCCCGTAGTCACCTATGGACCAAGTCGCAACAGTCAGAACTGACCACGGAACAACAGACTGGTTCAAGATTGGGAAAGGCGTGCGGCAGAGTTGTATCCTCTCCCCCAACCTATTCAACTTGTATGCAGAACACATCATGCGATGTGCGGGGCTTGAGGAATGTAAGGCTGGCGTTAAAATTGCTGGAAGAAACATTAACAACCTTAGATATGCAGATGACACCACTCTGATGGCTGACATTGAGGAGGAGCTGAGGAGCCTTCTAACCAAGGTGGGAGAAGAAAGCGCAAAAGCTGGGCTGAAGCAAAACATCAAAACAACCAAAATAATGGCAACAAGAATGATTGATACATGGCAAATAGAGGGAGAAAACGTGGAGGCCGTGACAGACTTTGTATTTCTAGGTGCGAAGATGACTGCAGATGCAGACTGAGGCCAGGAAATCAGGGTGTCTGCGCCCCACACCACTGGAGAAATTACACTGCTTAGCTGGTATTGCACCACCTGACATCCGCCGGGAAGTAGCAGCCAATAGTGAAAGGACCAAGGCAGAGACTTCTCCAGCTCATCCCCTGTTTGGGTATCAGCCAGCACGTCAACGACTTAAATCAAGACATAGTTTTCTTAGATCTACAGAGACACTCGCTGGAACACCCCAGCAAGCGAGAGTCCAAAAGTGGCAGGCTCAAACCCAGCACCTCAATCAATGGCTGATACCAAATTAGAGACTCCCCCCTGGGCTCACAGAGGACTGGGCGACTTGGAAGGCGCTGAAAGACTGCACTCTGACACCACAAGATGCAGAGCCAATTACTTCTTGGGAGGAGAGCAATGTCCAATCTCCATAAAACAATGAAGAGTAGAGATATCACACTGGCAACATAGTTAAAGCAATGGTATTCGCCATAGTAACTTACGGATGTGAGAGCTGGACCATAAGGAAGGCTGAGCAAAGAAAGAGAGATGCTTTTGAGCTGTGGTGTTGGAGGAAAGTTCTGAGAGTGCCTTGGACTGCGAGAAGATCCAACCAGTCCATCCTCCAGGAAAGAAAGCCCGACTGCTCATTGGAGGGAAGGGTACTAGAGACAAAGCTGAAGTCCTTTGGCCACATCATGAGAAGACAGCAAAGC